GACATTCGATATTTGACACTGTTCTGAAATAAATCTTTGTCATATCTAAGCAATAAAAAATACAGTTAGAATGACTATATCATTAATCCGCTGTACATGACGATATCTGTGACCACCATTGAAGTTGAACAAATGTGGAAGGTTACAGATGGTCGAACGAATTCGTTCCTATGCCACTGAAATATAACGCAGACCCAAGAAATGACGATAAAAGAAAGCTAATACCAACCGAACAGGTGTAGAATGAGTGCGAGCAGTCGCTCTCAGGATAATTACCGTCCAGTTTCGAGGAACATCCACCGACGACAATTGATGCAGATGATGGTTGAATATCTTGTGATGGGAAGACGCTGAAAGATTATGACTGCATCGATGGTTGTTATGATGTACATTAATGATGACCGCGTTGTCATTCAAGACAGAAAATACCTCTTTTGCGTGCTTTCGGCCGCAAATGGCACATCTGTTGTTCCAACTGCAACATTTTGATTGCAAGCTGGAATGTTGTTTTGATAATCACAAGCTGATAATTGGATATTGAAGAAGAGGCCAGCAGAACATTTGAATTCGTTAGTCTTGCCATTCGAACACATAAAGTATGATGGGGAACAACCAACTGAATACAGACCATCTGCACGATTCTCGCACTTTGCATCTGAATGTAATGCTCAGCATTATTACGACAAATGGCTAATCCCACGGATACCTTGTTTAAAAGTATTAAATATTATACATTACAAGTAATATGAGCAAAAATATCATTACATCAACGTTACAATCACTTCAACTCATCCAAATCGTCTTCACAATTCTTCACCAACCAACTTTCTGAAACTAATTTCTGACCTCCTGTCGGTAACGCATCAGACTGCAACGTATTGCCTGAAGCAGCGTCAGATAGCCCAGCGCATGGAGGAATCCTCTGAGGGTAATCGCAAAGTGAAGTCTTGCGATTGAAGATTAAACCCTTTGAGCAGCTTGCAAGACGTGTGGTGCCTTCCGAACAAACCATATATTGCGGGAGACAATCGCCGAGAGCTTGTGGTCCATTCGGTAACACTGAGCAACCTTGTTCGCCTAGTTTATTATCTTGCAAAATTGGTGTTCTTGTGGTCCTGAAAATGCTTCAAAATAGCGTCGAATTCGCAACATTCCTCTTCAAAATAAGATAACTATCATGAGAAGATACGTATTATCAGTTTCTATTATTTCGATTCAATTTCTTAACTGCTCCAGATTCAAGTTCAATTGCACAAGACAGCTAACCATGTTGTTCGCAAGAACATGAATGGAGGTGCAGTCGTAGTGCTTGCTTGCTGTTGTTGTTGGATGCCATTTGCACCGCATATCCTCACATTCTGTTTATAGTCGCAGTACGATCTCTCAGTATTATAAACCAATCCCACAGGACACACAAACTTCGATATCATTCCATTTGAACAAACGTAATACTCTTCAGAACACTGATCAACATACATACCGTCAGCCTTATTAGAACATTTACTCTCTGCAATAACGTCACCAATGTGATCGCAAAAACTGCAGTTCATAAGTTCCACTGAAATACCACAATCGATCGAAGTATCGATTTATCACCAAGTTGGCGTTATCCATAGTCGGTGAAGTTTTAAGGGTGTCATTTTCTCTAAAGCATGCTTTGACCACCAGCTCCACTGAGTGGAAGCATCAATACACTTAAGTATTGCAAACGCTATGACAAGCGTGGCCTTCAAACTCTACTGTCCAATTCGAGTAACATCATACTGTATATAACTGCACTTCTCATGATTCTATCCGATAGACTATTAAAAGATCACAACGCGTTCTATGCTATCACACGTACCCTCTTCACCAACTGATGAAATTCCGGGTGTTACGGTCGTGGAAGTGGTTGTAATCGGCTCTCTCGCACTGCACGACGCAACGTTCTCAGGATAATCACATTGACCAGTTAGACCGTTGAATACCAATCCTTTTGTGCAAGATGTCAGCGATGTCACACCTGAAGCAACTTGATGCTCACTGATCACACTAAATAGTAAAATATTTATTTACCTTGCTTTTTAATTTGAGGTATTTATTTAGGCATCCATTATGTATTTAGATAATGCAGTATTCATTTGAGAATAATAATTTACGGTATCGAAAACAGTAATTTACAATATATGTTACCATTTGAACATAGAACGAATCTGTGGTGGCATTTGAGCAACTCATGAGCACCATCCGGTAGCATTGCACAACTGGTTCGTGCATGATCCTCAGGAACTTGTACGGTTGGAACGAAATTCTCTTCTTTCGGTTTGTATTGCCTGAAAATCAGTCAATCTTGTATTCTCTGAATACGTATCGCTTGAATTAATATGAATATGAACAACAATTTAGAAGCAATGCCCAACATTAAAACTTTTCAATAAGGGACGAAAGTATCGTCCTTTCACAATATTGTTATGATGCAAACGATACAACAATGGCGATTCTTTGTGAC